CGTTTAGATTGAATGGTAATTTATAATCAGTCACAAGAACGTCGAATCTGAATCACTTGAATAAAACACGGGGGTGCTTAACTTTTTTCCAGGTGTATATTTTACCAACGAATAGTGGGTGTGACCGTCACGTTATAACGCCCCCACGGCTGAAAGGGTGATGTTTGGTGAGACAGAGATTCGAACCCGCGACCCTCAGATTAAGAGTCGAGCGCCCTAACCACCTGGCCATGCCAGGCCCAAAATCGATTAAAAAACTGAGGAATATAAAATATATTACTGTACCAAGAAAGTGTAAATTTACTACGGGAATTTGATATTTTCAACCTGAATGGCACTTTTCGCGACACTAAAACTAAACGGCCTGGTACAAGGCCCCAAACTTCAGGTACGGTCATTTCAACATTGCTGGGCAGAGCGAGGGCAACCACACAACAGCACCTGCCGCTTACTCTTCACTGTATATGGACCGACTATAACCGTTATAATGGCCCCAACGCACAAACAGAGCTGAAGATGCGAAGTGTGTCACAGCCATATCAAGGTTCGACTCCTGGTCCACCCGAAACACAGACAGTCACTGATAGTTACATATGTACGCGAAACCTGTTAACCTTAATACATTCAAAAAGGGAACCTATTTACTGGATAGTGATTATTCTCCTTCCAAAAACACTGTTATAGGGTTCCTTGTTTTATGATTTACCTATTTTTATTCCTGAGTTATGTTAGATGTTAAAAAAGTTCGTAAAATGTACATGCAGACTTGGGCCAGTGACTTTAATATTCTTCAAAGGTTTATTGCCTTAGATAATTTGAAATATTTTAGTTGAAATCTCCTATTTTTAGTATCCAATATTAATATGCTACAGGAAATCTATAATCATATTGTAATAAATATCATCATACTTATTATTAAAAGATCCTGAGACGGATCTATTATCGTACTATGATTAAATTTAGACAAAATGCCGGGGATTCTTTCAAGTTTAATTTACAAGTGCTTTCAATTCCTTAACTTTATTAAAAATAACGATTTTAGAGTTTATAAAGTATCCACCTTATTTATTAACCGATGAGTTGCTCCACATAAAGAAAATTAAATTATATACCAAAAGAAACATATACAACATCTAGTAAACGCTACATTTTCTGTATTCAAAATTACATTTGAAGGTCGAACGTAAGTCCCCAATAACAAACATGTTGAACGATATTACTTGGCTTTTATTTGCTGACATATATCATTGTAATATCATCCTATATTTGGTATGTTAAAAACTCTCTGACTGCACTCTGTAAAGTTTGTTTGTTTTCTTATTTCGCGCAAAGCTACACGGGGGCTATTTGCGCTAGCAGTCCCTGATTTAGCAGTGTAAGAATAGAGGGAAGGCA